AAAAAAAACCATCAATATCGGTTGCATTAAATCATATCGCATCATCACAACACTTTCAGTTGGATCACAGCGCTGATCTGGCATTTCTTGGCGTAATTGTGGCCGTATTCTCGGTTGGACAAACTATCGCCAGTCCAGTGTTCGGATTCTGGAGTCAAAAAACACGTAGTGTGAAATATCCGTCCATAGTTGGCGTCATACTGACGGCTTTCGGCAACGTTCTATACGCAATGTTACCAACAATTAAAACAAACGCTAAATGGTACATGCTCGTTTCGAGAGTAATTGTTGGAGTGGGTGCAGGTCGGTAGCTTCTCTCAGTTGCTTCCATACAATCGCTCAGTGCAGTTTGAATCAATTTTGGATGTTCCAATTGCAAAATATTCGGAAATTTTTTGCACCAACGTCAAATAGCACATGTGAAATCGAGTATCCGGTCAATCTGCCTAAAGACATTTTGCCTAACGACAATTTGTCTAAAGACACATTGCCTAACGGATAGTTTGCCCAACGGACAGTTTACCTGCGGACANTTGCCTAACTTACGATTTTTTAATGGATATTTCGCCTAATAGGCAAACTGTTCCTTAGGCAAACTGTCCGTTAGGCAAACTGTCCGTTAGGCAAAATGTCTTTCGTCAGATTGACCGGTCACGGTGAAATCGTCCTCTAACAAGCGGTACTTGTCAAGCAACATTCACGCAAATAGTGTTAACCCTGTTGATTCTTCCCTATAGGTAATCTTGGTGTACTCCGTGCCTACACATCAACAGCCAGCTCTGCAAAAGATCGAAACAAGGCGATGGCATTAGGTATTGCTTCGTTTGTGATTGGCCAATCCATTGGACCCGGAATGCAGGTGAACATAAAAGCATCTCGCCTAATTTCAATGATTCGGTTTATTTGCTCAAAAAGATGGGCATTCAGCTGGCTGGTTACTTTGCAATATGAATCATTCATACAATGGTTTACATGATATAAACGATGAATTTAAAATGAGACATTAATATGAACGATCAGCGCCAGTTGCATTGTTTGAATCATTTGAATCAAGCAATCACTTTCCAATTTTTCAAATTTTTTTGAAGATCAAAAATTGTCCAACCAAAGTGCATACATGCTTCTAGGCACTATTCACACCGATCGGTGAAGAAGGAATCTGGATTGGTACTGTACAACTGAATGTATACACAGTGCCCGCATATGTGATGATCCTACTGTCGATCGTTTCTTCATTCCTTCTGATGTTTTGCTTTACCGAATCGTATGCTGGAATCATGGAAACAGATGAAGATAGTGGTTTGTTTGTTTTTTGTTTAAAAAGTGCCGAAAAAAGCTTATTCAAAAAGCATTGTACACATTCGATATTCGCACTCTCGTGATATTACCAAGTAAAATTGGTCATCTGAACCATTATTGATACTTTGCAACTTTGAAGCATTTTCGTATCAACTGAATTCATTCGATCAATGCTTTTTGTTCGAAACGTCTCCAAAACAAATTGTCCTCTGGAGAATCTCATAATGAATGCCATCTGATTAGGCACTATTGTTTTGCTACCTAGTGAAGTTCGGTTTCACATCTTCGACTCAATTGCAGATTCATACTTGGTAATACCGAAATTCGATAAAATAGCTGCATCAGTTTTAATTTATATGTGGTATGTACAGCAGAGCATCGTTACAACAATTGAGGTGTAAGTTGTTGCGCATTGGTTTCTTGAGCTTGAAAAACTTTCATTAAATAAATCCTTCTGAACAGAACCAGTGTGTATTCACCTCTATAGGTATTCGTCCATTTACTAAATGATCTCATAGCAGCACAGGCAATTTGTCTTTATCGCTTTGGTCCAGTTTTGGTGTCGTCACTTTGCATTTGATAGCGGCAAAAATTAACGACGTCTTCTTTAACTTAGAGAGTTTTAAGCTAACGAGATTCAGTGCGCTGAAATAAGATATTATTGCATTGATGAACGCTTCTAGGTTGGCTTCTCCGCTAACAATAGCGATGTTCAACTGGAACGACGACGAAGCGGTGCTCTATAACGGTATCATTCTGACGATGAGCTGTGTATTCAGTATGGTCAACTACTTTGCAATTGCATACACCCGAGTTGGACGACTGTTCGTTGCTCTCATTTATTTTCTTGTTATTACCTGCTTGTCGCTTCCTTTA